CATGTAAGAAGTGGAAACAAACACATTAAAAACATGTAAGAAGTGGAAACAAACACATTAAAAACATGTAAGAAGTGGAAACAAACACATTAAAAACATGTAAGAAGTGGAAACAAACACATTAAAAACGTAAGAATCTGAAACAAACACATTAAAAACGTAAGAATCTGAAACAAACACATTAAAAACGTAAGAATCTGAAACAAACACATTAAAAACGTAAGAATCCGAAACAAACACATTAAAAACATGTAAGAAGTGGAAACAAACACATTAAAAACATGTAAGAATCTGAAACAAACACATTAAAAACATGTAAGAATCTGAAACAAACACATTAAAAACATGTAAGAAGCAGAAAAAAATGTAAACAAAACGTACAAATCTGAAACAAACGTGTAAAAATCATGTAAGAAACAGAAACAAAGACGAAACATGTGACTAATGTGAAAGAAAAGTACAGTTCGGTGTTTTGTTTACATTTCTTTATACACCTGCAGAAAGTACTGTAGTAAAGTCAAACTGTGACATCTGATGAAACACACCTTGTTTATGTTTGATGTCACACTTCGAGTACCTTTAACTCAGATTAAAACCAAAATTACAGAAAACGACACAACTATTTAYGTAAACTTTATATATATGTGATATTGAAATGAGGTATTAGTTGTAAAACAAACATTTTTCCACCATAAAAACTGAACAAAACTCAACAAAAAGGACAATTTGTCAAATAAATAGCATAAAAACCAGATTAAACCAGTCTAAATAATTTATAAAACAGAAAAAGTCAAATAATTCCTGTAAACAKCTCAACAGATCTGACTCTGGGTCAGATCTAGAAATCAGGACAGAGGATGATTGATTTATAAAATACATATTTTTGAGGTCAAACTGATATTTTAGCRGCTGCAGCTTTAGTTTCTATCAGTGACTGATGACATGTTTACAGGCTGCTGATGGTTTGAAGTGTCAGATATGWCAGGTATGAATAATCAGTTCAAACTCTCCTGTAAACCTATAAATATGARGATATTTATTATTACTGAGGAAAGACTAAAAGTACAGTAATAAAACATGTCTGAGCTSATTTATTGTTTTGTTTTTATTGTTTATTTAATATATTTTCTGTTCTGTTTATTTTTGGTCAAAGCTTCCAAATATTTATTTTATTATTTTGTAAATAAAATAATCTCATTTCAGTTCAGCCTTAAACGTGTCATCATCTAAATTTAAACACTTCATGTTTTGGAGGAAATTTTGTATTTCGGATCAGAACCAGAACCGGAGCCAGCGGGTTAATCCGGGTTGGTGGTTCCGGTTTGGGGGCAACAAAGCAAGAGTCCGAACCGGAGATGCTTGGCGGACCCGACCGGACCGAACCTGCCGTGAAGGCTCGGTTCAGCCTGCATGGCCCTGACAACACACACACACACACACACACACACACACACACACACACACACACACACACACACACACACACACACACACACACACACACACACACACACACACACACACACACACACACATCCAGCGGCTCGACCCGCCGCGGATGGCCGCCAGCCGCGCTCTATCCCCGGCTCACCTTGGTGCACGGCCACGGTGCAGCCGTGTCCATCACAGTACACCAGCGGGTTCTCAGCCCAGCCTCGCTCGTCCGAACACACGCAGCAGCCTCCGACCATTTCCCGCATGCTGCTCCCATACGAAGAAATGACTGTATTCTCCCCCCTCCGGTCCGGACAACGGCTCAGACCCGGGCCGGGACCGTCAGGTGGTCCACCCGCATCTCACCGCCGAACCGGGCATAGTCGCAGGGGGAGGCGGGGACGCGCGCGGTTCGGTCGCATCCGTGAAGAAACAAAAAAATCTCGGTGCGCGTAGAAAAAAAAAAAAAACAACTCTGCCTCTACGCTTCCTCCGTGATGTCCTCTCTACGCGGCACTGCGCATGCTCACAGCTGATTCCTCCGGGTCCGCAATCAAAAGTCAAGACGAAAAAAGTGCCCAAGTCGGTTAAATAACCGGGTTTTACTGTTTCTTTTACACCTCCCTCAATAAATTAAAAACATTTAATCGACTTATTAACCTAACATCCACTCACCTGTGATAAATTCACATCAGTTTAGTCGCTAATGCGGATCGAGCGGTCAAAAAACCGCTGGCTGTGTTTATTTTAACCCACCGTGGGGAAACAGCGCCCCGTGCCGGACGTTCCGGCCGGCGCAGGTTGCACTGTGTTTCACCATCCTGACCTGAAAACACAAGCACACCTGACTATTTATCCTCCATCTTACAGTTTAAATAAAGAAATCTGTCATTTATATAGTTTAAGACCTCAATCTATCAGCTTTTTTATTTTACAATAAAAATAACGTTTTTTATTGTCTAAGTGGTTCAAACACAATAAACGATTTAAAAAGCCAAGCATTCCTTGAAACTCTCAGAATATTAAACTAAAATCACCTTATATTGAGAAATGGTGGTTAAATTTGTTTACTTTCTACAAGTTTACCGTTTTCCCCAGTTTTGGATTAGATATTGTGCTAACAAACAAGAAAGCATTTGTTACAGTTTGCCGTGCTCAGAGTATGTGTTAGGAGTGATGCTCAGCTACTACAATACCAAATTTTAGATCAATCRTAYGAGGTCAGTTGGCTGTGGTGGCCATCTTAACTCGGGCTGACTCCCAAAATTAGTTAGTCATTACTTTCTACAAGTTTACTATTTTCCCCAGTCAGAGTTGTAAAGTAACTAAGTACAAATACTTTGTTACTGTATTTAAGTAGAATTTTTGGTTATCTGTACTTTACTTGAGTAATTATTTTTCAGCGTACTTTTTACTTTTACTCATTACATTTTTACACAATWATCTGTACTTTCTACTCACTACATTTTTAAAAAGGTAAGAAGTAGAAAGTTGTTACTCCTATTTTATTCTGAGTTGTTGTTTAAAAATCCTCTCCTGATAAACTGTGTCTCCTATAGAGTGAATTTAATTGTGTTTGGATGAGAAGTATAAATATATACCATTCTGACACACTATTAKCTTGTACACAACCCATCACAGCTGCACGCTGTTAGAAAATATAGTTTTTGGAGAAGTCACCTCCCAATAAATGTCATTTTGGAAAATCTAACTGCTCACTTTTACTCAGTACTTTTACTCAAGTATCACTTTGAGTTACTTTATACAACACTGTCCCCAGTGTTTGATTTGATATTTTACTAACAAACAAAGCCATGGTCATAGTTTGTTGTGTTCAAAGTATRCGTTAAGGATGACTCTCAGCTACCAACAAATTTTAGCCCAATTTTTGAAAAGTTTAGATGAAATGGAGACATTTTTCCATTTGGCTCAACTTCAAAAGATTAGTCAGTTTTAAAGTTTAATTTATATCCAGGYTTATGAGATATTTTGCTAACAGACACTGTGCTGAGTCCTAACTCAGTCTTGTTTCTGAGAGACAGCTGGATGAGGATCTTCTGCAGTAACGATGCAGCTGCTCCGGTCGGCGGCGGTGAAGGAGGAGTGGAGCTGAAAGTCAGATCTCTGGGTTTTCTTGTCTGACCCTCCCCTGTGGTTCTGGGGTTTGGATCAGGACCAGAGGAACCAGAGAGCAGTCTGGTTTTGGATGCTTCCTGTGAGTCCCTTCAGTCAGCAGATGTCACTAAAAACTTGACAMATTTATTTTTATTTTGACAAACTTTTGACTCTCGGGGTTGAAACATCTAAAAAAAGGTTGAGGAGAAGCGGACCTTTCTGTGTCCCTGCACGTTTATTTTTACCCTCCCACGCTCTGATGATGTGTTTTACTCTGAACAGTCGTACTGAGAATAAACACCTCGGAGTCTCGTAATTGTGGGAAAAAAGAGAAGCTCGGTGTTGAAACARATGACTTGGCTTTTTGAGTTTGACATGTTGGATGGAAGCTGTGATAASAGCTCGTGTCACTTCTCTTCAGGCCCAGAGACAGAAAAGGGAACTGGCTCTGATGGAGAGGACAGATAGCGAGGTGGCAGCTGGATGAGGCTAACACCCTCTCTTCTGGTCTGAAGGCARCAAGGCGTGAACAGGTTCCTGCAGCGCCGTGTGGGCGACGCTCATCCACACCAGCAGCTGAAACTCCACCGTCACACTCTGAGGAGGCGCAGTGAGCTGCTAACATTTAAAAATTCCCACAAAGCCTCAGTTTTTAAATAAAACATTAAAATTTTCACGTGGAGTTTTACTGGCATGAATAATCTGACTGTGGGTGAAAAGGGAAGAGTGAAACTGCTGATTAAAATCGTTTTCCTGCTGCTTCTCATCCTTTTCTAGTAGAACTACCACAGTTAACTGTTCTTCACTTTGACTCAGGTCCACAGCATAAATCACACAAACTCTGCTTTCCTCCCAGCAGCTCAAACAAAAGCTTTCTTTGAAGGAAAGCTCATCACCTGCTGCTCCTCGAACCAGAGATCTGACCTGATAAGAACCAGGTTACAGCCGATCAAACCTTCAGAATAAAAGAATTATTAAATCTCCTACGGAATCTCACATCTGTTAGCTCTGAGTGTGTTGAGGAGGACTCTCAGCTACTACCACACCACGTTTCAGCTAAAAACTTTTACAACTGCCTGAGTTTTAGTCTTTTTATGTAGCCTAAATTCAGAGGTGATGACCTATTGTTACTTTTAGTTTCACTAAAATCCGTTCATTCATTCATGAGATATTTTGCTAACACCAACGTTGTGCAATCAGTCAGTTTAAAAAGAATAGTTGAGGATGACTCTCAGCTACTACCACACTGAATTTTAGCTCTTTATCTGTAAAACTCACTGAGTTGAAGCTATTTTTCTGTAGCATAAATTACTCTGAGTTTCATTAAAATCCATCCACTGGTTCCTGAGATATTTTGCTAACAGACAAACACAGATGTTGTGCAATCAGTCCCAGTTTAGAATATAAGTTGTTTAAGACTCTCAGCTACTTCCACACTGAATTTTAGCTCTTTATCTGTAAAACTCACTGAGTTGAAGCCATTTGTTGTTTTTGCTAACACTGCTTAGCTGCGGCGGCCATTTTGAAGTTAACTCCAAAAAAATAAAAAGTTATTTTCAATGACTGGTTTCTGAAAGTTTCATTCAAACTGCCYGAGTGATTCATGAGGTATTTTGCTAACAAAACAGAGACAGCGGCGTCAGTCCGCCCTCAAAGGAAACCTTGAAACCTGGCTCCTGTGAGGAAACGATGAGTCCTGACAGTGTGGAGATCCTTCTCAGAGCCAGTGTCTGGTTTGTGTAAGGTTTGAGTGAGATGTTTGTGGCAGCTCTAAACCAGAGTTTGATTCTGGAGCCAGACTCGGTGCAGAGACAAGTGCTGTCCTTTGAAGCGTGAACTGCACCGCTCTGAAAACCACAGCCTAAAAAAAACAGACATGTGACCTTCAAGATAATACTTTTTTATCTTCTGCAGTTTTGACTCATGTCAAGGAGGAAGGTTTTTTTATTTTTACACATTTACACAAATAAAAAATGAAAACAGACAATAAATGCATTTGTTGTTTTCTTTGGGAGAATAACTCTTTATGATACAAACAGGTGCTGCAGTTCACTACAAATATTTGTCTGTTCAGAAGCAGAAAATCTGCTCTTTAAGACTTCACAGCCATCTTTTCACATGAGCAGAGCGTGACTAAGAACAGCCGTCTGGTAGCCCCCGCTCCCCGTATGACTGGTGCCCCCCCGTATGACTGGTGCCCCCCCGTATGACTGGTACCCCCCTGTATGACTGGTACCCCCCTGTATGACTGGTACCCCCCTGTATGACTGGTACCCCCCGTATGACTGGTACCCCCCGTATGACTGGTACCCCCTGCTCCCCGTTTGACTGGTACCCCCCGTACCCCCCCGTATGACTGGTACCTGCTCTTTATGACTTCACAGCCATCTTTTCACATGAGCAGAGCGTGACTAAGAACAGCCCTGTATGACTGGTACCCCCCGTATGACTGGTGCCCCCCCGTATGACTGGTACCCCCCTGTATGACTGGTGCCCCCTGTATGACTCGGCCTGCCCGTCCTTGTAACGCTGCGTGTGGCGCTCTACTTCAGCTCCACGCGGTGCTCGCCGCGGGCTATGTGGGAGGAGAACTCGTAGCGGTCGCGGCTGCGGTGCCCACACACGTTGCACTCCAGCGGGTCTCTGAAGCCGTGGCAGCCCATGTGGATGGTGAACATGACGTAGTCCAGGAAGATGACCCGGCAGTGGCTGCAGGGGTACACGGCGCCGGGCAGCGCCCCCGCCTCCCCGTCCGCCCGCATCACCCGCAGGGCCTCCAGGGGCGACAGTGGGATGGGCTGGGCGTGCGGGTGGGGGACACCGTTCTGGTGGTTCAGGCCCCCCAGCAGGTGGCCCAGGCTGTAGACCACAGGCTGGGACATCGGGGGGCCGTCGGGGTGGAAGGAGTCCAGGCCCAGGGGGGGCTGGGCGGCGTGCAGGCCCAGGATGGGGATCTTCTGGCCGTTGGCGAGGTCCGCGGGGCTGATGTTGGCGCGGTTCAACGGGACGGGGTACGGCCTGTGAGAGGAGGGCGGGTCGCCGTCTGGACCCATGAGGACCGACTGCTGATGGGGTCCATCAGGACCGGGCGAGCCCGGGGGGTGGTCCTTCACTTCAGGCCGGTGCAACAGCTCCCTGTTGAAGCTCAGGTCCAGACAGACCCCRTTGTCCCCTGCACCGGTGACACAAGACAGAACTGAGCTGCGGGTTTGGATCGGACCAGGACCAGAACCAGAACAGCAGTTAAAGCAGTGAGAAAAGATCTGCGAGGAGAAAAAAGCTGCAGACAAACGTTGTAAAAACCAAACCTGACAGAGTTGTTTGTTACGAAACTAAAACTGAACGTTAAACATGTGAGTCAAAAACCATCCAGATCCTGCTGAACCCGCTCCAGAACCAGAACTCTCACAGGCTTTGTGTTGTGGAGGGATTCTGACAGACTTTGCTTCAGTTTGAGCCCAAACCATCAGCCTCCACCGCCGTGCTGAAGCTGGAGGTGCATTCTGGGTAAACACCTGTCAGAACTCCTGGTTCCTTCAGATGAAACTGAGACCTGCTGCTGTGCTTCTACAGAGAAGAGGACATGACCTTTGACCTCTGACCTGCTAACCCAGGCCTGCAGGCATGGAGCTCACTGCACGGTCTGACCTTTGGGGTGGGACGTCCTCTCGATGGTGACTATCTCGTTAAATAAAACAGTTTATATTTGTGTCCAGGTGTTTGTTTACCTGCACAAACAACAGCAGTGACAACAGAGGAGCTGTTTTGTGTTTGTGCTCAGATTTGTGGACCTGAGGAGGCCGGTTAGCTTCCACTAAATTAGCTTCCACTAAATTAGGTCCACTAATAAACTTCACAAATATTTTATGCTGTTTTTTCTAGAATTAAATAAAACTATCCCCTCTTATGATCAGTGCTGGATGAGTCAGGCACCGTTAGCATGTAGCATCCTTAGCAGCTAAACTTCAAAACAAGAGCACCAAAATAAAATAAACATTTAACAATAAAACAACTAATACAAGAAAGTATTTGTTGTTCGGCGAACTTCAAACAGYATTTATAAAAATACTAACTCTATTAAAGAAAGGCTTTTATTCTGAAAGGTGCCAGCTAAATCTCTGGTTTGGATTGGTCGATAGAAAACTAAAAACAGGTTTGTGTCCCACCAGCAACTGCAGGAGAGGAAGACTAACAGCTGTCTTAGCAGTTAGCTTCAGCATCTTTTATCTGTTTAGTGTTAGCGGAGCTAAAATTCTTGTTCAGCAGATTTTTTTTGTTTTACGTTAATAAATTCAGTTCACGATCAGTTTTTTATGTTTTGATGACTCTGTCACCTTTAAATGTTTTCCTTTTCCTTCCTGTGGTGACGAYCTTTGACCCTTTCCAGACTGATGGGTCTGTGAGGTCATTGCTGATGGATTTCCTCCTTGGTGCTATGCTAACACACCTGTAGCTGCAGGTAGAGGTGGTCTTCAGCGAGGACCTGAACCAGTTTTTCACTCACAGCTTTCACTTCTTGTCTTGGTTTAATTTAAAAACGGTAAAGACTCTGTGAAGGTTACATTTAAATCGTTTTAAACAGCTTTTGTGTTTTTTTTTTGACTGTAAGAGATTCACATCAGGGGGTCCCTCTGGGAGAAAAAAAAAGTGTGTGCCACCGCACCTCCCCCGCTTTTGGAGAACCTGACAGAAGAACAAACCCAGGTGCAGATGAGACAAAAGAAGCTTCAGAGCGAGGAAGGAGGAGAGGACAGAGGGCTGAGAGGAAGCAGACGAGGCAGATGAAGGCCTTTCAGTGCAGCTGCTCCACACGAGTATCGACAGAGAAACACCTGCTCACGTTTCTCGCCTCCCGCCTTTCTATCTCTCTCTCTGCGGTCGCAGAGCCTCTTACTTCTCTTTTCCCCTGTGGTTGTCATATTGAAAGATCTCACTTCATTTGTCAAGCTGATAGACGTGGGAGGGTTTTTTTGTTTTTTGGTGTGATTGCGAAACTACAACCCAGAGTTGAGTTTAACCAGAGAGGTGAGAGCAGGCTCTTGAAAATTCTGCTCAAAGTTTGGGAAATGGCGGTGCCACCTCAGCYATTTACTGAAACTGAACTGTTGCTTTAATATAAAAAAGAGCAATAACACCGGCAGGTTTCAGGTGCACGGTTCCACATGATTTCGTAGAATTAAGCATGCTCACATACCCACCTATAGCGACACTGACGCAGAGTATTTATGGCGGCGGCGGCGGCCACGCTGAGGTGCGTGCAGGCAGGAGGCAGGCAGGCGAGAGGCTCTGCTCAGTTCAGCTCTGCCAACAGATAGAAGCCAGCGAAAAATAAAAACACACAAGGAGCTCAGACASAAACAGCTTGAGGTGACCACAGTGTGAATTGTTGTTTTTGTTTCAAAGCTCAGATAAAAGCAAATCCAACAGACAAACATTAACGGAAGAAGCTGGAGAAAAACAGGCGAGGTGTGTTTTTTATAATAAAATCTGAATCTGGTGCAGGAACGGCGTCTTACCCGTGAACTTCTGCGGCATGGAACTTTTCCTCTTGGCGACGTTGCTGGCGAGCCGGTCGAGAAGCAGCGCTCGCTCCGAGCCCATCTGAGACCTGGACGTGTGGCTGTCCTCTGCCCGACCCGAACCACAACAACAACAACAACAACAACAACAACAAGGGGAGAGCGATGAGTCTGAGGTCATGAAATAAAAAAAAACACACCAGCTGCTTGAAGTGGAGCCTGACGAGGAGGAACCAGATAATAATTTCACATCAGTCTCTACTCTGACATCACTTCCTGGTTGATTTTTCTTCTATTTTACCTCATTTGTGCAGGATGAGGATGTACTTCCTCACCGCTGCAGCACCATCAAGAGAAAACTTACGACATTCAGTGACCACAAACACTGCGCTTTCTGTTGCAATGTCCTGTCGGTGCGTAAAGACAGGCACCGAGGAGGAGGAGGAGGAAGAGCGGGACTGCAGACGCTGACGTTTGTGATGCTGGGCTCAAACGTTGGCCCTGTTTGGCTTCCCCTCTGCTGATACAGACACCACAGCAGCCATAACCCAGTTAACCAAAGGGCAACGCCAGAAACTCATTAACCTAACGAGGCCAGAGGAACAGGATCTGCAGCGCTCACACACCTGAAAACTTTATTTACTCTGCTCTGTCTGGCTTTCAGACCACAGGTGTGAAAAACCTGGACAGGCTGTAAAATACAGACTTTAATCATCTCAAAAACTCTGCTTTTATTCACAGCTCAACTGTAAAATGTTTAAACTAAGAAACATATTTAGTTTAATCCTGTTTAAAGCTAAAAAAACAAGAAACTCTTAAAATCAAACTCATTTTACATTTATGACAAAAACTTTAAAGTTGTTCCAGCTGTGAGACAACCAGACCAGGTCTGAAGGACCTGATGGGACCAAGTCTGAAGGACCTGATGGGACCAGGTCAGCTGGTTTTAGAGGGATTTTTGTCTCATTCTGGTCCGATGGAGGATTCTAGATGTTCAGTCCTGGATTGGGCCAGACTTTAAAACTTGTAAATACTTTGTATTGATGGGGTTTTTCCAGATGTGTTGGCTGCAATAATGCATCCCCATACCATCAGAGAGGCAGGCTTCAGTATGGAGGACTTCAGATTTGGATCTGTCAGACCACAGAACAGTTCTTCACCTCATTCTGTTTTAAACGATCTTTGGTCCAAAGAACTGACAGTGTGTATTTACAGTGCGTATAGACTGCGTAACAATAATAACAACAACAACAACAATAATAGTAATAATAATAGTAATAATAATAATAATAATAAGTGTGTGTTGGTCAGGGGCTCACCTCTGTTGGCAGGACCTTTGCTCTGAATGTAGACGTGGCACCTCTCTCTGTGCTCCTCCAGCGAGCTGCGCTGTTTGTAGCTGCGACTGCAGTGGTTGCACTTGAACGGCTTCTCGACTGCAGAAACAGCAGTTTCAGTTAAGTTTCAGGTAATCACAAGCTACGTGAAAACAATCGGCTCAGACGCCGCAGGTTTCCTTAAAAGAGGGCGGTTTAGTTCAAAACGCATGATTTTGAACTTTAAAGGTCCTTTCTGCAGAGAAAACATGCCATCTGAAAGTGAGTGAGTAAGTTGTGTGTGTGTGTGTGTGTGTGTGTGTGTGTGTGTGTGTGTGTGTTACTGGAAAAGGCTCGACTGATTTCATGTCAACAATCAAAAAGAAGCGAGAAATCAGCTTGAAGGAGTAACTGAAGTGATGCTGTACGCAGGTGTGTGTGTGTGTGTGTGTGTGTGTGTGTGTGTGTGTGTG